GGGCTCCCCAGGGCTCCCCCTGCCCCTCCGGAGGCCACCAGCAGGTTGGTGCACGGCCTCTGCTCAGGCCTGGGGCTCCCCAGGGCTCCCCCTGCCCCTCCGGAGGTCTCCAGCAGGTTGGCGCACGGCCTCTGCTCAGGCCTGGGGCTCCCCAGGGCTCCCCCTGCCCCTCCGGAGGCCGCCAGCAGGTTGGCGCACGGCCTCTGCTCAGACCTGGGGCGGCTGTAGGGGCAGCTGCAGCTTCTTGGCAGGCGGGTCAGGCAGTGACCTAAGCACGTTACACTTGACCCCGAGACAATGCTGTTCCTCCTCTCCTTTTGATCCCCAAATTCCCTTCATTCTGCAGTGAACCCAGGACTGTGGCAGGCTGGCCCTCTGCATGTCCCAGCTGGAAACAGGCGCACCCACCATTCTCACTGCAGCGTGAGCGCCCCTCCCCCTCAGCCCTGCTGTCTACCTCTTTCCTGGCCCTCGAGGTCGGGGAGCCCGGTGTGAGGGAGCCGTGCACATACCTGGCCAGCGCTGAGGGTTTCGGCGGCTGGGCCCCCGCCGCAGGTGCTCAAAGTTTAAACGTCCGGCAAAGCCCCGTTGGGCCATGGCTACTTTTCATTGTTCCCAGTCTCATTAAAGATCCAATTGGCCGTGGACATGACATTTATTACAGTTGCCTAATGACATTAGAGTTGGATGATCCCTGTGTCAAACATGTCCAGACCTCTAATTATGGGAGGAAAAAATAAATTGTCGTGAAAAGAAGTCACTGTCTCCCTGGCCGGTTTGGCTCAGCAGTTAGAGTGTCAGCCTGCGGACCAGAGAGACCCGGGTTCGGTTCCCGCTCAGGGCACGGACCTCGGTTGCAGTTTGTCCCCGGCCCCAGTTGGGATCGTGTGGGTGGCAGCCACTCGATGTGTCTCTCTCACGTCAACGTTCCTCTTCCTCCCTCTCTCCCTCCTGCTCTATCTGAAGATAAATGCAAAAATGTCCTCGGGTGAGGACAAAAAAAACACAAGAAGTCACTGTCACCCTCTTCTTGGCATGAGGGTCAAACGTGGACACACCTGCTGAGACCCAGCCCTGTGTGGGGGTGAGGCAGGGACACGCCCACATGTTTGCCACTTGCAAAGAGGATGTTGTCAGCTGGAGAACAGATGCGGAAACACGAAATGACTTAGGGAAACAGAGGCAGCTGCTTTGGGGGGCTGACCACGGGGAACCAGCATGCACGGGAGCAGGCCTCCGGGGGCCTGTAAGGATGGGGACAGGGAGGCAGGCGACCGTGGCCTTGACAAGATGACAGGCCCAAGGACACAGAGCAGGGCACATGTGCGGGGACCCCTTGGAGAGCAAAGGCCAAGTGGGTAGGCGAGTTTGTCCTTGGTGCTAGGACAACGGGGTCACCGAGGGGCACAGACCGGGGGCCTTGTACCGGGACACCTCTTTGCACAGGTCACGCGAGAGACTGAGGGTAGAGGGGCCTCAGAGATGCCGCAGGCGGAGGGTGAAAAGGATGGAGGGCGCCGGTCCTGTGGGGGACAGTCCAGAGGGGCAGCCACGGAGGTGGGCGCCCCGCCTGCCTGTGAGGGGTGGTGTCGCAGGGCGTCGGCGGGGCCGCGGGGCCTCCAGCCGGAGCCCCTCCACCGGGACTGCTGCACCGTCCCCCAGAACCCCCGTCCCGCCGGCCGTCCTGTGACTTGACTCTCAAGCATCAAGAGGCCGGTGTGAGCCCATCGGCGTTTGCTGCGGCTCGTTCCAGCAATTCGATTGGGAGGGTTCGCTGGTTCGTTAGGAAGTCTCCCTGGAGACCCCTGTGGAATCCGCACAACAGGGAGCATTGTGGGTGACATTCCTCAGAGCCAGGGCCCAGCCCCACCCCACACCGCAGGCTCGGCCAGGGCCAGCCCGGCGTCCCCACGACCGCTGGTCCCCACGACCGCTGGTCCCCAGACCGCTGGTCCCCACGACCGCTGGTCCCTATGACCAAGGGTCCCCATGACCGCTGGTCCCTATGACCAAGGGTCCCCACGACCGCTGGTCCCCACGACCGCTGGTCCCCACGACCGCTGGTCCCTATGACCACTGGTCCCCACGACCGCTGGTCCCTATGACCAAGGGTCCCCACGACCGCTGGTCCCCACGACCGCTGGTCCCCACGACCGCTGGTCCCCACGACCGCTGGCCGCTGGGCTGCAGGGGGAGCACAGCTGACGGGTTAAAACCGCGCTTGGCCTTCCCAAAACGCGGCGCATCCCGGATCCCAACTCCCCCTGCCCCACAAGTGAGCACATTCAGGGACACAAAGCCCGACTGTGGTGGAATGTTAGTATGCAGAGGCGCTCGTGGCCGGTTCTGCATGAAGCCCAGGACAGCAGAGCCATTGTCCCTCCGCAGCGGCATGGACTCCTCTCGCCGCAGAAGCTGAAGCTCAGCCGGAAAACCAGGCTCTTTCTGGGGTGACCGAGCTCTGCGCCCGCAAGCCCGCAGCTCCACGCCGGCCGCGTGTCTCCGTGCGGCTGCAGCGAGACGAGGCATTTCCACGCGTGTGTTGCAAAGACCGGTGGCCCACGTGGCTGGATTGAGCCTGTGGCCATGGGAGACGGGCCAGGGCCCCTGCCGTGTCTCTCAGGCGTGGCCGAGGACTCCCAGGAGCACGGGCCAGGTCAGGCTGGTCCTGCTGCCGACTCTGCCTCGGGCTCTCACTGCACATGTCCGTGATATTCGCCGGGAGTAAGTCACAAAGGCAGGACCACACGTCGATGGCGCGAGGACTCACTCGTGGGACGGCCTCCTGGCCCATCGAACTGCCCGCCCACCGTTCACTGAGCACCTACTAGGCACCCAGTGATTTTATGGGAAGAGGGCAGAACCTTTGCCTTTTGCTGTTTGTATGTGAGTGCACACCCCTCAAACAGAGGCAGAGGGGAACAGCTCTGCACCCCTCAGGTGCAGTCACCCCTGGAGGGGCCCCTTCCTCCCTCCCAGGGCACCCGCATCTCCGGACGAGCCCCTCACACGTGCTCACCCACCCGAAGTCTGGTCCCCCACACACCTGCGGGCATCTCCTGGGGCTCTGGGGGACCGGCCAGCCCCTTGTTCACCCCGGGAAGCCCCGCACAGTCTCAAGGTCCAGCGCCACCTGCCTCCCCTCTGCCCCCCCCCTTCCGCTCCCACGCCGGGCTCCTGGCCTCTGGTCTGCCTGGGCCCGGCCTGGTGTCCTTCCCTGGTGTCCTGCCGCCCCGGTGCTCACACGGCCACAGCCTCATGTCACCTGCTGTCCCTCCAGGGGCCTTCCTGACCCCTACCCTGCTCCGCGTTCTCACATATTATTACTTGGTATGAAATTACATATCGTATCCATTTCCCGTGGCTGTCGTAACAAATTACCACAAACTGGGTGACTTAAGACCACAGGCATGTCTTCTCAAAGTCAACAGGACCGTGTTCCCTGACGGCCCGAGGGCAGGCCCTGCCCCCACCTCCCCGCGCTCCTGGCCCGCCTTGGCGCCCTCATCTTGCGGACACTCAGCTCAGCCCTGCCTTCCCCCTGCGCCTCGTCCCCGAGTGTCTGTGTCCACACCTCCCCTTCTCAGAAGGACTCCTCCTAGGACCAGGGCCCACCTCCAGTCTGACCTCGTTGTAGCTCGATGACCCCCAGAAGACCCTGTTTCCAGCTAAGGTCACATGCATAGGGACCAGGGTTAAGACACAGACTACAGTTTGGGAGGACATTATCCAACCCATACACGGTTGTATCTGTGTTCATGAGAGGAGGACTCATCTTGTCCAGCACTGTGACAGCTAGGACAGCGTGTCACTCATTAGGGACTCAGTGCGTGGGGTGGGGGGTGGATGTGGGTTAGATCAGTGAGTAGGTGGGGGGTGGATGGAGAGGTGGGTGGATGGGTGGATGGGTGGGTGGAAGGAAGGATGGGTGGGTGGGTGGATGGGTGGGTGGGTGGATGGATGGGTGGGTAGATGGATGGGTGGATGGGTGGATGGATGAATGGGTGGGTGGATGGATGGGTGGGTGGATGGGTGGATGATGGATGGGTGGGTGGGTGGGTGGATGGGTGGGTGGGTGGATGGATGGGTGGGTGGATGGGTGGGTGGGTGGATGGGTGGGTGGGTGGATGGGTGGGTGGGTGGATGGCTGAATGGCTGGACGGGTGGGTGACTAGGTGGGGAGATGATGAGATGTCTGGATGGGGGACAGATGCTGCTGGATAAAGGTCAGTGAACAGTGTCGGATGGCCAGTGGCCACACGGTGTCACAGGATGATGTGAGTAAACCGCACCTCCCAGACAGGTAACGAGGCTTTGAGAGGAAACAAACCCACACACATTTCTTTAAACCCAGCCTGTAACTTGGGCACAGACGAGCACATCGCTGCTCTTGAGGGAAGTGCTGAGATTTTGTAAAAAGCGGGGGGACGGGACACGTTTCCCCCAAATGTTCCCATTGCTGCTGCTCCCACGGAGAAGCCGGCGCAGAATGTCCTGAGTGGGCATTTCATGCAGGAGGCCTCCTGTGGCATCGGGACACAGGGCCCTGAATGCCCGATCTCGAAGGCCGGACTGTAAGTGCTGCAGGGAGACCCCTTCCTGCCAAGAGCACCAAACACCCCTTTTGTCAAACCAACGCCCCTAACATTCTGGCTTATGCCCCAGTGGCCTTTAGATCGTAAGTGACCCCTAGAGGTGCCTGCCATCCTGGGCGCTCCAGGAACAGGGCAGCACCTGTGGGGATGTCCCTGGGCTCGCTGCGGGCTCTGCCGCTTCTCCTGTAGGGGCGCAAAGCCGGAGGAACAGGCCGTGCCCGGGCCTCTGGGACACGGAGCTGCCGCCGGGGTGCCCAGGGCTGTGCCTCGGCGGCCTGGCTGCCTCGGCTCCAGGGCAGGGTGCTGCCTGTGGGTTTTGAGGGGACCAGCTGACCAGCCTGGAAGAAAGCGGCATTGTCCCCTTGGCCGTGCAAGGCCGCATTCATGTCTCACTGTTGTTTGCAGGAGCGGCAGATGTGGGCCGGGACAATGGGGCCCCCCCTCGGGACACAGCGGTGTCAGGCCCCAAGCGGGCAGCGAGCCCCGAGAATGCCTGGCAGGATGCCCGCCCAGCTGACCCCCGGGGCCGCCCCCACTTGGTCCGCCTCTTCTCCCGAGATGCCCCGGGCAGGGAGGACAATACCTTCAAAGACAGGCCCTCAGAGTCGGACGAGCTGCAGACCATCGAAGAGGACAGCACCGCTCCCGAGCGCCTGGATGCGATGGCGGCACAGAAAAGACCTTCCCAGAGGCACGGGGCCAAGTACCTGGCCTCCGCCAGCACCCTGGACCACGCCAGGCACGCCTTCCTCCCGCGGCACAGAGACACGGGCATCCTCGACTCCCTGGGGCGCTTCTTTGCTGGTGACAAGGGTGTGCCCAAGCGGGGCTCCGGCAAGGTGAGCTCTGGGTAGAGGAGGACGCGGTGCAGACGGAGAGAGGACGTCGCCGTGCGCCGAGCCGTGTGGGGCGTGTCCTTTCTGGAACACCTGCTGCAGGCTGGCGGGAGAGGCCAGGGCACCTGCTGTCCCCTGACTCACCTTCGTCCTCCTCCTCCCACAAGGGGTGCCCTCGGGATGGGGGCCCTGCAAGGACACCCTGGCACCTGCGGCCCTGCGCGGGCAGCGTGGGGGTGGGCACCGCCCGCGCCCTCGGGCTCCCGTGTCTCGCGCTGGGGGCTTCATGGCTGATTTGTCTCTGCTGCGTTGCTTTGGGCTTCGCCGTGGGCCACGCGCGCGGCCTCCGGGCTGAGGGCTCACCGCTGGCCGGTGCTTTGCAACAAGACCGGGAGTGAGGCCTGGGGAGCACGCCCGGCAGGCAGCTTCGCTCTGAGCAGCCTCTCCCCGTCTCCGCCGTGTAAGGGGGAGGAACGTGCGGTGTGTCTTTGAATCAAACTGTATCATGTGATTCCGTGAATGTGAGCACAGTCTGTGAAGCTGCGTTATTTAAGTGTTCTGCCGATTGAAATGCATCCCGGGGACGGACGCCCCTGCTGGGGTCCCGCTCCCGACAGGGTGTCTGGGGCTTGGTGGTGAATAGGTCCTCTGTGGCCGGTGTGGCATTCACCCCCGTGGCTTGACAGCGAGGACGTGGCCCATCGCGTGGCTCGCAGGGGAGGCTGGCTGGGCAGTTGTGGGAGGAGAGAGGCTTCGAGAAGACCCCGGCTTACCGGGTGCGCCCACAGGTCCTGCGAGGTGCAGCTTGTCTTCGGGCTGGGGCTGCACTCACTCCAAGGGCCTTCAGGGGGAGACGCTTTGGGGCGGAGGGCGGAGCAGGGGCCTCGGCCTGGGAACAGCATCCCGCAGACCCCGGGCGACTGGGGGTTCCGGCCCGACGACACCTGAAATGACACGATCATGAACTTGGAGACACGTGTTGGTTTTGCCTGATGTTGGGGTGTCATGCAGCTCGAGGTTCTGGGCCCGGGCTGCGTCTTCACCTCCGCCCCAGGCCCAGGTCTCTGACAGGACCCTGGTCATGACTTTGGGTGAAGAGCAGTTGTGTCCAGGGCCCTTGGACTGCCTCTCTGGTTGTTCCCCCAGGCCCGCTTGTGGCCGCGTCCCTGTACCTTGGGCCAGACTCCCCTTCCCCTGAAATGTCCGTCATCCGACCCACTTCAAAGGGTCACTTCACGCTGGCCCGCTCTCCAAGCCGTCCCGTCCCACGAGCCCCAGCGCCCACGGAGGGCTGGCGCTCACGCCCCGCCAGTGCCGAAACCGTAGCCTCTTCTGCCCGAGCCAGTGGGCAGGACAACATGTTTAAACTGGCGACAGAGATTACAAAAAGCTGGGGAGCCCTTATCTCAGAACAAGCTTTGTTTCAGGGGTGTGGCTAAGTTCAAATAAAGCCGAGAGTGTCCATCGCGTCTCTGTGGCTGCTTCTTGAAGTGCAGAGGCACACGGTGTGGTCCCTTCCTCGCGTAGAACTGCCCCGGGGGCTGCCCGTCTCTCTGGTCGGCAACATTGTCAAAGAAAAGGTCCTAGTTTCAGAAGGAGGCGCTGTTATCGAGGACCCAGAAAGCTCAAAACATTCTCCCAGGACTGTTACAAATGAAAGCGGCGTTCAAGTTGTGGTTGTAGGATTGTGTTCACTACTGACTGTTGAATAGTGTGAAGAGGGTCAGCCTTTGGCCCTTCGATGCCCCAGACGCCAGCCGGGTCGCCGTGTACCCCATGGCTGCTCGTGGCCAGCGGGGCGGACAGGCCGGGCGAGGACCCCGGCAGTGTTTGTTCGGCTCACCCTTTACTGGGGAGTCTCCCTTTGCTTTGAAACACTGGGGAGGGGAGCTCAGTGCCCTGGGGGTTGGGGGAGAGTGGGGGGCTGCTCTGCGGCTCTGTTCTGGTTCCGGTTCTGCTTCGCTCGGTATGTAACTCAGGAGAGCCCTCGCTCTGTATCCGGACGGGGCCTTTGGGTTGAAGCTTGAAAATGAGGGGGGGCATCCAAGGGCCGGTTTGGCTCAGCGGTTGGAGCGTCGGCCTGCGGTCCAGAGAGACCCGGGTTCGGTTCCTGCTAAGGGCATGTACCTCGGTTGCAGTTTGTCCCCGGCCCTGGTTGGGTCGTACAGGTGGCAGCCATTCGATGTGTCCCTTTCACGTTGATGTTCCTCTCTCTCCCTCCTGCTCTGTCTGAACAAAAAATGTCCTCGGGTGAGGATTAAGGAAAAAAAAAGAAAGAAAGCAAATGAGGGCATCCAGAGGCCGTTCCTGCCCATGAAAGTCCATCCCACCGTCCACCCCACCGTGTCTGGATGACCGCCCGAGGGCCACGGGATGCTACCAGGCGCCCGCAGGCCGAGGGGGAGGCAGCTACTCTGCTCACCTGCCGGGGGTCAGGTTTCTGGCAGACTGTACGGGCTGCTTGGAGTGAGGGCCCGACAGAGCGGGCTGGGCTACAGCCCCTGCTCGGCCCCTCCCTGGCCCCTCCCCGTCCTGGGCCGGAGCCGCCCTCAGGCCTGGGAATGTGCCCAGCACCCACCCTCCGGGGGGCAGGACTTGGCCTTCAAGGCAAGTGCCTGATGAATTCCTGCGGAGGCGGGATCTTAGACAGAGGAGAGCATTGGCCAGAGCAGGCCCCTCTGCCGGGAGAAAGGGCGGTGCTGGCCGAGGACCAGGCTCCCTGCCCCCGGGACGTGGCCTTGTGAGGTGAGCTGGGCATCAGGACAGAGATCAACGGGCTCTGGCCTGTGGAAAGGGCGGCTCTCCGTGGCCACGGCCTCCTCCCGCCCTCCTGTCCCTCCTGCTGGCTTCAGGCCTGGGCCGGGGCTGGGACCGAGGCCCTCAGGCTCCACACAGGTGCCCCCCCCCCCCCCGCACACCGCGTGGGGTTCCCAGCTGGCGTCTGTCCGACGATGTGTCCTGGTCCTCCGCTCACCGTGCCTGCCAAGTGCGGTGTACAACACCCCTCATTCAGCGTCACTTCTGCCCTCGCGCGTGGACCGCACGGGGACCAGGCGGCCTCCTCGCGTGCTCTGGGCAAAATCAGTCTGTTATCCACCACAGGGTTCAGGTTCCTGATTTTTTAATTGCATTTTAATTCCATTCAGCTGCATTTTAGTCCTCCAGTGACCTAATTCTTCCTCGTGAACACGATCCCCGCATTGTGGAGGCGCGCTCTGTCGTCCTGTGGGGGCTGTGACCCGGGGCACGGAGGAAGGACACGGCCGGAAGCCTGTGAGCGGCCCGGGCCCCGCGCTCTCTCCGCTGGCGTGTTCGCTCACGGGTGCGCACGGAGCCTGGGTGACTCCCCGGCAGCCCCCTCCCGCTCCATCATCCGTGTGCCAGGGGTCTTTCTAGAAGAAAACCAAAATTGGGGGGTGTATTTATTTCTGCACCCCAACAAAATGATCTGAGAGTTCCTGCAGGAGTCTCATTGCCCCGATCAGCTCCCTGCTCCGGGCTGCGTCCTCCCACCGTCCCCACATCCCCGGCGTCCAGTGCCAGGTACAAACCACAGGTGCACTGAACGGCCGTCCCCGCGCCGGCGGCCAGCTCCCCGCCCTCTGAGTAATAGTTTGTAAACAACGCTGTCTGCTGTGGCGACTGCTCCTGGCGATTGATTCCAGTCTGCTTGTGTGCTGAGATTTTGCTCTTTATCTACCTTCATTGTCGTGCCTTCATTAAACGTGTTAACAGACCGTGGATGGTGTACTAATTGCGCGTGAATTTTTTACGTTGTCCTTTCTGGTGTCCTTCCCTCCCCAAGCACGTTTATTACCCAGGTGGCTCCTGATCCGGCCGCCGACAGGTGAGTCCGCGGGCCCAGCCCCTCAGCCGCCCGCTCCCCTCACAAAGACGCAGGACTCCCTGGTCTCCTCGGGCCGTTCGGGGTCCGGCCGGCGTGGGGACTCACGGGCTGCCCTCGGGGCGCCGTCCTGCAGACACAGCGAGCGGCCCTGAGCAGACAGGGGGCCGGGTCAGCCACACTGGCAGCTGCATCTGCGGCGTGAGCGCAGGGCGGGGTGTCAAGGCAGCAGCCGGGGACCGGAGGAGAGGGGCTGAGATTAAGGGTGAGCTTGGGGAAAGCAAAGATCACTGCTTGGTCGTCCATCCCCGCACGTGCTGCGGTCAGACCTGGGCCGCCCTCAGCCCGCCCCTCGACCCCGCCCTCCGGCGTTCCTTCCTCAGCACTGACTGGGTTCGGAACCGGGCAACTCCGAGGGGTCAGTGCAGGGCTGAGCCTAAGCTCGGACGGGTCTGCCGTCGTGGGGACCTGCTCAGCAGAGCCTCGAGGAAAACGAAGGAGCTGCCGGAGCGTTTGGGGACCGTGGGTCGAGGCTGTCTCAGAGGTGCCCACAGTGTCCGTCTCCACGCTCTTAAATGCTCCGGAACCCCCCCACTTCGCAGGACAGGAGAAGGGGGAGGCGGGGAAAAGTGAGCCCACGGACGGTCCCATGAACACGCCCGGCCTGCTCCCCCGCCCTCGTCCCACCAGCCCGGTCAGGCCGTGGCCCCCACTCCTTCCACGAGGACCCCTGCTTTCCCAGCATCCCGATCGCCTCTGCCACCAGCGCGAAGGGAAGGCAGCCGTCCCCTCCTGTCTCCGCGGGGACAGGCAGGCAGGGTGGAGGCCCGTGCCCTGGCCAGTCCCCAGCGCGGCTACCTCAGGGCCCCCGCCGTCCAGCGAGACAAGGAGGGCGCTCGGCCAACCCCAGGACTGCCCACAGACGCCCCAGGGATGCTCCTCCTCATTCAGGGGGACACCGTCTCACATCGAGGAGGAGCCCATAGAAACCCCCCCTTGCCTTGTGAGCACGTGTATGAGGAGGTCTTGCCCGTACCCCACCTTTTGAGGGTCACAGCTTTTTTTTTTCTTTTGTAATTCTCAACCCAAGATATTTTTCCTTTTATCTTCAGATAGAGAGGGAGAGAAAAACATTGATGTGAGAGGGACACACCGATTGGTTGCTTCCTGCACGACCCCGACCAGGGCCGGGGGGCGAACCGCAACTGAGGCCCGTGCCCTTGACCAGAATTGAACCCGAGACTCTCTGGTCCAGGGGCCTGATGCCCTCACCACTGAGCTACCACTTTCGGTGGGAACAGCAGGGTCTCATCAGGGCAGAGACGGCCACAGACTCGCCCAGCGACACACACCCTGAAACAGCCGCACCTCGGCAGGGAGTCCCCAGCACCACGAGTTAAACCCACCGGGCTCCCTGCCGCTGGAGACGCGGCCTCGTGGGGAGACCCTGGGGGGCTGGGGGCCGAGCACACGCCCCACGGGCCTGCCCCTGGACACCCGAGTGGGCTCCCCTCACAGTCACAGTCCCGAAATGCAGGGACAGGGTTGTGTGTCCTCACTACCGTCCCTTCCACGAGTAACCAGCGCTTAACCTGTTTACTAAAAACCCATCTCATCTGTAGCCAAGTGGAGGCTTCCCGGTGACCGGGACAGGGGCCCTGTCTCCTGACCCCCGTGGGCTCTCGCTCCCTCCCTCACCCCGTCGGCGGTGGGCAGTCTCAAGAGGGGGACTTCCTGCCATGTCCTCCGGGCGTCATCATGCAACATTCTCTCCAGCACACCCCTCAGCTGCAGGACTGTCAGCCCGTGAAACAGCAGCAAACGGTCTTTAGGGAGATGCACAAGCACCGGGCCAAGGCGAGGGCCTGGCTGGTGTCAGGAAGACGAGGTCCTGTCCCTGTCAGGCCCCGAGCGGCCCACAGGGAAGACAGGTGTGGGCGTCGGGCCTCTGTGTGGCCGGCTCAGCCCGAGCGCCCTCATCCCGAGGGGACGTCCTCATGCCGAGGGCCCTCGGTGCCAGCCGCCGTGGCCCCCACACAGCGGGCGTGGCCCCGCTCGTGAGTCCGACCCTCCTGCTGTGAACGACAGTGACGCTCACAGAGAACCACACGGGCCTGTTCCACGGGAGACTCGCCTGAGCGAGCTCTGGTCCTGCCGAGCGGCTCCATCCTCCGCTCTGAGCCCTGCTCCGGGCCCGAGGACCCCGGTCACGTCGTAGGTGCCGGGCCTCAGGATGGAGCCGAGAGGGAAGCACTGTCCCCCAAATCTCTCTTTCCTTTCCTTCCGGCGCCCGGGGGCTCCCGGGCCGAACCGCTGTCTCCTTCCCTGCGCCCGCCTCAGCCCTCCGCTCTCCCGGCCCGGCCTCCATCCATCCTCACGCCCCTGGCTCCCTAACGTCCATCCCGCGGACTCTCCTCACCACCGGGGTCTGGCCAAGCCGGGGCAGGAGGGGACGCTGCAGAGGACTCAACCGGCCACTCTGTGTCCCTGGCAGGTTCCCTGGCTCAAGCAGGGCAGGAGCCCTCTGCCCGCTCATGCCCACAGCCGGCCCGGGCTGTGCAACATGTACAAGGTAAGGTGCGCCGCTGCGCTGCTTCGTGCCACACGGCCGGCCGTGTGCCCACACGGTCTCCGTCCACGCGGGCACGGTCTGGGGCACGCCCCTGTCCGGGGCACAGCGGGTCTGCAAGGCTGGCAGAGCGAGGCGGCAGCCCCTCAGGACAGCCAGCAAAGGACACCGTGTGCGGACAGAGAAAGGCCCTCGGGGCTGGGGGAGGTGGAGCAGCCGCCTTGCCCCTCGGGGGGCCCTGCCTGGATAGAGCCCCACAGGTCAGGGCAGCAGCCGGGCCCTGCAGAGGGGACTCTGACCGTGGTGCCGACCTGCCTGTGAGCACCCCTGTGTGAGAGGTGCCGGCGCCCACCAGCACCAGTGGGGTGAACGCTACAGGGCAGGTGCCCTCGGGCGTGGGCACGGGCTGTGCCCACCTGAGCTCGGCCGAGCTCCCTGGGCTGGGTCAGGGCTGTCACCGGCCCTGCGTGTCCTGGTGCGGAGGCAGCTGGTACTCCGAGTGCCAGTGATGTGTGGACAGCGGGGAGGGGAGGGCAGGGGCTCAGAGGAGGCCGCCCACGTCAGACTGCCGCACACACGGTGGGCACCAGCACCAGGGGCTGCCGCCTGGGACCCTGTCGGGAGACAGCGGGCTCTGTGCTTGGCACCTGCGAAGTACGGTCACGTGCTCACTGCCCAGACAGAGCATCATTCTGACGCGGCCGATGAGTCCACGTGGAGGAGGCAGCGACGCCCGCCCCCAACACTGTGCCTCTGTGGTGGGGGCCTGTGCAAGACAAGGAGGGTCAGCTCTCCAGGGCGGACAGTCCCGGGGGCCTCTGGGCAGCCAGCGGACGCAGGGCCGACAGGAGGTGGGCACACGGTCAGAGTCCCCGCGGCAGACTGTAGGCTCCTGACAAGGGCTAGTCCGTCAGCCGAGGCCCAGCGGGCAGACGCTCCAGCCGAGAGCGCGGAGGCTGCACAGGGCCCGTGCTGCCCTCAGCCATGTGGCGAGCTTGCTTTGCACAGACTCGGTGGCTCCTTTGCCAGAGCAGACAGCCCTGTCCCCAGGAGGTTCATGGGCCCCCGTGTGCCCCGGGCAGTCAGCCCGGTCGGTGAAGCCAGGGACCACACGCCTCCTGGGCGGGCGAGCTGGGCAGGCATGACCGACACACAGCCTGCACGAGGGGCAGCGGCGGCCGCACTGAGCCCGGACCCCTGGACGTCCCTGCCCCTCCTGTCCGCAGAGAGCAGAGCCCAACCCGGCAGGGCGGCCAGCAGCCAGGGTTCGCGGCCGACAGTGAGACTGTCCCCCAAGGCTGCGCTCTTCTCTTCTCAACAGTCGTGGGCGGAGGAAGAGCAGCCCGTCACCCACACCTCCGTCCCCGCATCCACACCTCTGTCCTGTCTCCCACACTTCCATCCCCGCCGACTCGTGCTCACTTCTGTACAAATGTGCGGCCCCCTGATCTTCAGCGGCATCTGCGGAGCCGTCCTGTGGAGCAGGACTGGGCCCGGCGGCCCGCGCGGCCCTGCTGTGGGGACATGGGAGGAGGAAGGGGTGCTGGGGGTGCAGGGGAGGCCGAGACAGAGCAGGGCTGAGACCAGAGGGAAGACGCTGTCCACAAAGGCCGACAGTGGCCCTTCCAAACGGTGACCGGCGCTGAGGACCTTCAGGGGCCGTATTCTGAAGTCACAGTCGCAGGGGTCTGCTTGGACAGCCCCGCCCCGCATACTGCTCTCCCGAGGTGTCTGCACCAGAGCCGGAAGGTGGCCGAGAGCCCAGTCCCCGTCTGCAGGTGGCGTCTGGGCCAAGAGACCACGCCCAGGACCTCCCTCTGAGAAAGGGCTTCTCTGTTTGCAGTGCCCCCCCCCCCCCCGGGCTCTTCCGTGTTCCCAGAAAGTGCCCGTGTCCCGGAAGCAGACGTGGCGGCACCGGCACGGGAAAGGGTTGCAAGAGTTCACGGCAGCGAGGGGCTTTAACATGGGTCCCCGGTGACGGGACAGGGGCACCTGGAACAGGCTTGCGGAGGAGACACTGCCGGGCACACTGAGCAGAGCAGCCCCTCCGCGCTGGGAGAGCGAAGATGTCCTGAGCCCCGAGGGGGACCGCGCGCAGGGGCAAGGTGACCTGCGTCCCCTGACCTTCCAGGGCATTCCCTGCGGTCACTGACTCTGCAAATACAGCAGGAAGGGCACGAGGGGCCCCCCGCCAGGAGGTGGGAGACCAGATGCTGGGTGCTGGGGGCCAGGAGCCACGCCCACCGGGAATTCCTCACGAGGGGACCAGCGTCCTGCGCAGGACTCCGGAGGGCTGAGTACCCCAGGGCCAGTTGTGACCGTGGGGGGTGGTCACATCACAGCGGACGAATGTGGTGACATTGGAGGAGTCAAAAGCTGGATAAGCAAGAACCCCCTCGAGAGGAACCTCAGTGAGCAAGAACTGTGGTGACATTGGAGGAGTCAAAAGCTGGATAAGCAAGAACCCCCTCGAGAGGAACCTCAGTGAGCGGCCCCTCCAGGCAGAGACAGAGCCTTTCAGTCCAGCCTCCTCCTCACAGCCCTGCGCCTGGACCTGGGTCCCCGCAGATCGCGCCGCGCGCGGGTGGCCGGACCGCCCCACAGACACGTGCTGGAGGCGGACAGGTGGACGCAGGGCGCCGGGGGCCTGGGAAGGAGGGAGCAGCTCGGTCCACGTTCGCCTGCACCCCCGCCCCTGGGCCCCTGGAGGTGAACCTGCGGCTACAGGAGACCCGCCCTCCCCACTTCCATCAGAGGCTCCCACGGGGTTCCTTGGGGAGTCTGTGCGTCCCTGTGGCCACTGCTCTCAGGATCCTGCCCCAGAGGGCTGGTGGGGCCGCAGAGTGCTCCCCAAGACACTGCGATTCTGGCCCCCCAGTGGGCTGAGGACTCAGCCCGGTGGCCTGGAGGAAACCAAACCTGGAGCCCAGGCATGACGGCCCCGGCAGGGCGGCCTGTCTCCCTGGAGCCTCCTGCCCTCGTGGGGAGGCCGCCACAGCCTCCGTGGTGGGAGCACCCGTGTCTGCAGTCTCCACACCCCAGCTCGAGCGAGGACACCACCTGGGCCCGCACGGACGGGCGCCCCAGGTCCTCAGTCTGGTGAAGTCAGCCCGACATTCACGCTGGAGGAGACGTCTGCACGCCTCAGACGCGTGGGCTTACAGACCGGTGCTCAGAGGCAGAGGGGAACCAGGGCGGCGCAGGCGGGGTCCAGCTCTGCTCGGCCCCTGGGAGGAGAGCACGGGGCCTCGGAACCATGTCCCAGGGGGGCCGACCTGGGTTTGGGGACCAGGTAGCAACCAGCCTTCCTTGCCAGGAGGGCAGCCATGCGGTGGCCATGCTTTGGGCTCTGCCCACACGGTCATGTTGTCCTAAATGGAGACCCGGCAGAGCCGCCTGGGGAAACAACAATGTCCCGTGCCCCCCCCATTCAAGAGCAGCTCCAGGCCTTCACCCCACCAGCTCCACCTCCAAGGACACCAGCTCCGGGAACAGCTCCCTTTACGACCAAACCTCAGGTCAGGAAAACGCAGCCACACCAGGGTCCCTGGGTGCGGAAGCCTGGGGCTGAGAGGGTGGGTCCTTCCTGCGTCTCTGTGCCCAGGTGAGACCCTCTGGCTCACAATCCCTGCACCCCCTGTGTCGCCGCCGAGAGGTCGGACTGGACCGCAGCTCACAGAGGCCGGAGCTTGGTGCCCTGCGCTCAGGGGAGGCATCAGGGGACACAGATGGCCGCCTGCGGCCTCAGCTCACCCTCAGGGTCTCCAACTGCGAAACGGGTCCCTGTCATCCCCAGGGCGAAGGGACGGTCCCCCGCCACCCGCTGCTCGCCGGCCACATCCTCCTTTTCCACCTGAGCAGCCGACAGGAAACCTAATATTTCCACCGGAACCAAGGTTCGCCTGCGGACTTCAGCCACGGAGAGCCCCGCAGGGCGCACAGCACAGCCTCTCCAAAGCCCACGGCGTCCCTTGACCCCCTGGAGCCAAAGCCTCGGCAGCAAGCGCGTGTCTACAGCCGCGAGGGGCAGGGACGCAGGGCGGACTGGTCCTGCTCGGACGGGCGGCACTCTCTCCGGACAGCAAGCGGAAGGCGTCCAGACCTGGCCAGAAAGAGCCTGGCCTCTCCTGGGACAGCTCGATGCTGTTTGGCCAGAAATGGCACTGTCGCTTCCTCTGCAAACCTGGGAGAAGGCGGGAGCCGGAGGAGCATGGCGTCCGGCCCGGTCTCCACACGGCCGTGGGTCGCCTGACCGGCTCTGAAGGGCAGCGTGCAGACCACATGTCCTTTCGTCCCCAAACATGACCTTCGACCCACCAGCTCTGCTGGATAAGGTGTTTCTCTGGTGCATCGCCTGCCCCGGGGGTGCGGCTGGGACTGAGCGACTCTCCTGCAGTGACTCCGACGGGCTCCTGGAAAGTGGGGGAGGGAGAGAGCTGGACACCCCCCTGGTCCTTCAGGGGGCGAAGTCACTGACGCCAGCCCCTGAGCGAAAGCGTGAGGCCGGAGGAGAGGACACGGACGTCCGGCCGGCTCACAGCGAGCCGCGGTTGGACGTAGAGAACAGAGTACAGAAAACGCGGGTTTCATCAGCACTTTCCCAAGAGAAGAATCACCTGCTGACTCCGAGTCTCCTCTTGTCGGCGGTCAGAGAAGCGACGGTACCACGTGGCCTGTGCTCCCGATAGGATCAGCGGCCACCGCTGGCCGCCTGGGTCTGCAGGGCCACACAATGAGGAAAAGAGCAAAATGCAGATCCCTTTCCCGCTCACTCTCCCGGCCCCTGGTGAGACCACCTTGGTGAGACCAGTACCCCTGGCACCACTTTGGGGCTCTGCCCGCACCCCACGCCCCGCACGGCGGGCACAGAGCAAGGACCGGCTGTGTGTGCTGGCTGGTTAATCACCCGAACAAAACAGAGCGATGCCCACACTACGGTCTTGTTGTGTCAAAGGGTGTTTTCCATTCAAAGTGGGAGCTGACCGTGCCCTGGTTTTAATGAC